CGGGAGGAAGTAACTTCAGGCAGTAGAATGTACAGAAGCATTATTTCTTTCAGGGAACTATAAGGAGTCCATGGGCTGTAGCACAGGGTATATGAAGGGTATTAAAAGATGAGGCTGAACAATACTGTGCTGCTTCATATAGGGCCTGTGTGTCTGAGTTACAGAGAACCATTGCAGGATTTGAAGCTGGGAACAGTGAGATCCCTGACTATATTTGGGGAAATGGACTGCAGGGAAAAAGTACAGAGGCTAGGAGACCACAGAGATAAGATTTAGTTTCTCACTATCCCTGTGTGAAATTATTGGTGTTTCAGCTCAGCTAACTAGCAGCTGTTTATTTAGTGCCTACTTTGTGATATAGTCTTGTTCTTTGACCATCTGAAGGCTCATTAAATTTCAAGGATGGGTAGGCCCTGTTCAGGGTGCTCCCTGATGACGTGGCTATCACTAACCTCACTCCCTTTGTCCCCTGGAATCTTAGTGCCATAAGTACTTCCAGAGGTTCTGTGCCTAGGTCTCTTGAGATTCACTACACAGGACATACGCTACAGAGATAGCTCAGGAGGATATTGGAAGTTGTATATTGAAAAGGGTCCTACCCTGGGTCTTTTCCCACCAGTTGTCATACCCATGCTTCCATCTGCTTCACACTCCTGTAGTATGAATCAAAATAAATGTAACACAGAATCTAACCTTCAGTAACAAAATGCCTGCATTTCCTGGGGTTGCTGAGCCTCCTAAAAGCACTGGAACGTTCTCTTTGCACTGTCTCCAGGAGCCAGAGAACTCAGCTACATTCTCTACGCTAAAGACATGACACGTGTTAGCTGAAACCTGCCTGCCATTCCAGTAACAGAGCAGCTGTGCTGGGCCGATGTGGCTCAGTTGGTTGAGCATCTGAGCGTTGTCCCATACACGAAGAGGTCACTGTTCAATTCAGGGTCAGGGCACATGCCCAGGTTGTGGGGCTTGACCCCCAGTAGAGGGTATGCAGAAGGGATCCAATTGATGCTACTCTCTCATTGATGTTTCTGTCTCTCTCCCCCTCTCCCTTCCTCTCCCCCCCCCAAAAATCAATAAAGACATGTTTAGTAAGTAAATAAATAAAAATCTAAAAAAAAAGAGGAGCTGTTTTCTCCTGCCCCTGCTCCTGGGTCCCTCCATCTAAGGCTTGCTCAATTCATCCAAGGGAACTCTCCCTCTCAGGGCTGAGCCAGGATCCTTTTGTCTTATATCCCATTGACATACTAGCATTCTTCTATCTGAACCAGCCAACCTGAGTTGGGAAGGATTGGCTGGTTCTTCTTGCTGCCTTTTCTAGTTATTTTCTCATTACAACTTCTTGCCCTTTCTGGAGTATTGGGCAGCATGTTCTCTCCTCTGGCTGCAGATGTCCCAGTTCATTGTCCAGTGCCTGAACCCTTACCGGAAACCGGACTGCAAAGTGGGAAGAATTACCACAACGGAAGACTTCAAACACCTGGCTCGCAAGGTATTCTCCCCAGCTGTGGTCTGACAATGTTCTGGGAAAACTGTACCTTCTAAAAAGGCCTCTTGCATCATAGAAAGTGGGTTTTCCTTGCGAGGTACCCAGGCTGAGGACCCAGGAATGGGGAGGGAAGGTTTGAGAAGGGAGAGCATCTTACTTGAGTGTGATGATTCTCTAAGAAACTTCCTTTTCTGGTGATCCCAGCACCAGCCTGCCCCAACCTACCTTCCTTATTCAACTCCTAGTCTTGGTTAGAAGGGCCCTGAGGTAGCAGGCTGGCCTTCCCCCTCAAATCCTTTCCACTCTGACTGGCGGCCCTGGTCTCTCTTCTTGTGTTCTGGACAGCTTACTCACGGCGTTATGAATAAGGAGCTGAAGTACTGTAAGAACCCTGAGGACCTGGAGTGCAATGAGAATGTGAAACACAAAACCAAGGAGTACATTAAGAAGTACATGCAGAAGTTTGGGGCTGTTTACAAACCCAAAGAGGACACTGAATTAGAGTGACTTATGGGGCCAGGGTGGGAGGACAGGTGAGCGGGTAGGACAGACTCCGGGGAGAAGGAATCCTGTGAGCCTTTCCTGCCCTGCCCTTCTGTCAAAGCTGTGCTACTGATGACACATCACCCTGGGGAATTTCAACTGAAAGCCCAAAAATGAGCTCAATCTACAACAAGCGATGCCTGATCGTGAGCTGTTGGGGTGTGGTTGGAGGCCATCAGAGGCAAGGGCTTAGGGAAGAATCTTCCCTCTAAGACCCTGGCCAGGCCTGACCCCACTCTCAAACCTGGGTCTCCTCCTTGGCGGTGCTGTTGGCGCACAGACCCATGCGCATCCCCACCCATGACCCCTTACCCCGACGATCTGTATTATATTTTAATGTATATGTGAATATATTGAAAATAATTTGTTTTTTCCTGGTTTTTGTTTGTTTTTTGTTTTGCTTTTAGCCTTTACATGCTAGGATCACAGGAAGACTTTGTAAGGATGGTTTAAGTTCTCCTGCAAGGTTTAATTTGTTATCATGTAAATATTCCAAAGCAGGCTGCCTTGTGGTTTTGGCCAGCCTTGTGCTATGTTGATAAGATTGATTTACTGCTTAAAATCACTTTACTTTATCCAATTTTTACTGAACTTTTTATGTAAAAAATAAAATTAATTAAAGAACTTGGCACTTGTGTTCCCTAAGAGCTAGTCAAACGTGTTACTGGAGAAAGGAGAGATGTGAAGTCCAAAATTAGTCTGAGTTTGGAGCTGATCACAGGCCTTTTTCTTCACAGGTCCCACTGGGACTGAGGCAGACGTTTGCCAGATGACTGACACTTGTGAGCTTGGGATCTGGTGGCTGTGCTTAGGGGTGGAGCCAACTTACACGTGCATTCCAGAGCAAAGGAAGTGGACCTGAGGCCTCATTGGCACTGGGCTGCTTTGGTTAATAGATCAGTCTAGAGAAGACACGTGTCTTTCCCCTTTGTACTTCCTGGCTGGGGCGAGGCATTGACACACTTCCCTCCGGAGGCCTGAGCTCCCCCGAGCCCCTGGAATGCTCATTTGCTGTTTTGGTTCCCTGACCTCCCACTATGCTACCTGACACTGGGCTTGGACACTAGACCTAGGACAGGTGAGGACCCATACAACGGGGTACAGTGCACAGGTGGTGATGAGAGTGGATATCTCCTGGAGAATGCAGGGCCCAGTGGGGACCTCCCCACACACATCCATTGTCTGGGCAATGAGCAGAGCCAAAGGCTTCAGGCCACGGTGGGGGCCTGTCTTTGCAAAGAGTCTGGTTCCATCTCTTCCTCACCTCAGTAATGCCCCTGGGGAAGAGGCTGTGGCCTGCCAAATCTTGGGCAGGTTGGACAGCAGTTAGAGCACTCACTGCCTGTTGGGTGCTACACTGGACTCTTAGAGCTCAGGCTGTGCTCACTTGATCCTCGCAGCCCTGAAATGCAGGAATTGGCACTGTTCTGATGAGGAAAGTAAGGTTCAGAGAGGCACAGGTACTCATCTCATGTCCTCATATTACAGGAATTGTTAACATAGGAGAAAAAAAAACTTTTAAAGGTCATAATCATTAGACATGCTTGCTTGAGTACATTAGGGAGTGTTTCTCTGGTGGGTTTGCATGCTAAGGGTACAGCCTGTTGCTCACAACGAGGTCAAACTCATGGTTTTTACCCAAGGCTCCAGGTTTCAGATTTTCCAAGGAAATTCAGGCACCCTTCTGTTAAAGGGTGGTGACCAGGCAGCAGTCACATTTCAAGTAGGACACCTTTGAAGAGGAATTCTGTTATTTTTCCTCCCTGGTTTTTTAAAATCTTTTCCCTTCCACCTACCCCTTGACACCTTCAGGCTCCAGTCCCTTCAGTGGTGATACAGGCTGCCAGCTAATTGAAAACCATTCATGCCACTCGATGCAGGAGATCACATCACCACGCCAATCCTTGATCATGCTGTGGCCAACTTCCTGCTGAAGTACGTGTGACGTCTCCAGTGCTGGTCTGATTCTAGCTGAGGGAATGCTGAGTCTTTCCTGCTTTTCGCTCCTGGGTTATTGTTGCCCAACGGGTCATCTCAGGGTAAAGGTGGCTCAAAGCCTGCCCTTTTAAGGAAAAGATTGATGTGCTTGAGCAGGCCTGGTAAACTGTTTCTGAGGAACAGCAGCAGCAGCCTGATGAGTTTGGTCCTCACAGAGCAGCCAGTCAGTCACATCTTAGCCAGCAACAGGATCTACTCTGGGCCCCCTGGACCATGACTGCATCCCACGTCTCCTCTGAGTTTGGGTGGTGGGTGCCAGGACTGTAGCCAGTATTCCTTCCTAGGCAGGGCCTGTCTGCTGTAGCAGCCCTTTCCTAAAGCTTGGTCACCAACCTGCCTGCCTCTCCCTTCAGGGCAAGCATATGTGTGAGGTGCAGGTGGATGGGCTGTGGCTGCCCTATCCTCAACTGCCCCTCAGGTGGGTGGGATGACTTGCCTGCCCCTTGGCTTGTGTAGAAATTACAGCAGCAGCAGCGGAAGCCTGTTTGGCCCTGCCTCTCCTAAGTCTGGAGAATGGGCCCTGTAAGGAAAGCCCGCCCACCCTTCCTTTTCCTCATCTAGAGGTGACCAGAGGCCCTTGGTAAGCAGCCTCCCAGGACCAGTCTGCCCCTTGCCTCCTGTCTAGAGGGGCAGGCCTCCAGCTTCTGGTTGATGCTGGTCACAGCACAAGTCAGGAAAATTGTCTCCACCCGGGAGTCTTAAGTGAGGGGAACTTACTGAACACACCATTCCATTTCTTGTTCAGCTAAGGAAGCTCAAGTTCAGAAAGGCAAAACAGCTTCCTAACATGATCCAGCCAGTAAATGGCAGGTGCAGGACGTGAACCTCCACAGCTCATGTGTCTTCTTTGGGAACACGCTCCCTGCCAGCCCAAGTGCTGCTCCCACAACTTAGGGACCCTGTCCTTTTTCTGGGCCTCTGCCTCATAGTCACCCACTTCTCACAGGCCCAGGTAGCCAGACAGAACCAGTACAGTAACCCAAAGTTCCTTTAATATGGAATACAAAAGTAGAAAAAAACCAATTAAGGCAAAGGAAGGAGAGCAGACCCATTCCTTACTGCCACCTCCCCCCATATCCTGGTCTCTGTCTCAGAGGCAGGGAGGGCAAGGGAAGATGAATAGTGGCTGGACTTTGTGTCCCACCAGAACAGAGCAGGCTAAGCCCACCAATGCCAAGGAGCCCATGAAAGGGAAGGCGTGGTCGGGAGCACCAGAGCAGTAAGTACCCTGAGAGGTGAGGCTGTGGAGGCATCACTCACACCACAGAGCAGTCCTCAGGCGGGAGGCCCAGGACCTGGACCACATCTTCACGACCCATGGCAGCCAGGGCGTCCTCTAGCACCCTGAGTGTCGCACCGCTGCCTTCTTGGACAGCCCAGTCCCTCAGCAGAGTGTAGGCTGGCACCTGGCCCCGGGCCATGGTCTCCACAGCCTCAGCCTGGTAGCCCAGACGGCCTGCCAGGCCCTGCCAGCCCTTTTCAGGTTCGCCTGACACTCCCAGGAGCCGCTCCACTTCCTCTTGCTGCTGTCGAGGGAGATGAAGGTAAAGACGGCAGCCAAGCTCCGGATGTGGCCCTGGGGTGGGAAACATGAGGGGCAAATAAGGGTCAGGTGGGCTGGGTGGTGGGCAGAGCTAGGTTCTGAATTGACTGTAGATTGGGGAAAGGAACTCACCCTGGCTGGGGACACAGGACTCCAGACTGCTAGGAGAGTCCTGGAAGACACTGCTCTCCCTGTGTGTCTGGTCCTTGTCGAGGGCCCCCAGCTCTGCAGTCCGAGCTTTGGCCAGCTGCTGTCTTTGTTTATGTGAGCGCCAGCTGTGGGGAGCAGTGGGGACCTGCCAACCTGCTCCAGCCTTCACTGAGACGGAGCTGGCTGGTAGTCCAGATGGGAAGGGAGTACCACAGGGCAGTACCCAGGCCACCTACCACTTGAAGGCCACATAGGCAAGCAGACCGAGGACCACAGTAGCCAGGAGGGCACAGTACACAGGGATGATGCTGCCTGAAGCCCCTGGAGGCTCAGAGGGGAATGGAGAGGAGGTATTTTGGGCCAGGCCTCCCCTTTCACCTATCCACACTCCTTCCCTGTCCCTGTCCTGCCCTTTCCAGGTCTCATCTGTGGAAGAAAGGAAAGACAAGGTCAGGGGCAAGAAATCAAGGCTATAGTCCCTCGGCAGGCTCACCTAGACTTGGCTGCCAGAAGATTTGAAACAATAGTCCCTACTTTGTAGTCAAAAGCTCATACCACAGCACCGAGCTAACTGGCCCGTTTTCCCATGCTCATCTCCATAGCCTCCAAAGGGCTCACTACTCTTGGACACCTAGCCCTTCCCAGAGCTACCCTTCTTTCTCCCAGGCTTCCAGACATCTGCACTTGCTGTGCTGCCTTCTCCATCTGTCAAACTGGAAGGAATCTCCTATTCTGGGAAGCTTCCTTGATCTCTCCCGGTCTTTTCCTTTTCTGTCTCCTATAGCACTTCCTCTGTCTACTATGGTACTGAACTGTGTCCTGTCTTCCCAACCCAGTCTGGACTGTGAGAGCACATTGATTCATGCTGGTCCCCATGGGGGCCTCTGTGCACAGGCCTTGTAAATTTTTTGCAAAATAAAGCTGAACTGGAAGGCAAGTAAATGCTGTTGCTTGCTTCTTTCTGTTTGCAGGCCAGGTGTTCCCACAATCCAGTGCAGGCAGGGCACGGTGGACAAGAACTCCAGAGCCTGTGACTGGACTTGTGTGTGACCTACCTACCTGGGGGACCTTCCATCCTACCCAGTGCCCAAAATTTGGATCAAGAGATGCTTACCTACATGGACCATGCCTTCCCTGTGGCTGGAGTTGTGAGGCATCACTCTGCCAGCGGGTAGTGCTCCCAGGGGCTGCATCTCTTGGAGAAGCGTTTGGAATGTTATGGGCAGTGCCCAGGCAAGGGAGCCGGGAGACTTCTCTAAGTCCAGAAGGGGCTATGTGTAGAGACATGGCAGGGAATACCTCCTAATGTCGGGAGTCTCCCTCTCCTGGCTCAATCACTCCATCCTGATTCACTCCAGGGCTGGGTGACCCCCCCTCCCCCCCCACACACACAACCCTACTCATCAATCGACCATTTTTCTCTTATGTCAGACGGAGTGGGGGTGATAGAGCCAGCCCCAGCTGGCCAAGAGGAGCCAGGGTGCAGCTCAGGAGGGAGGAGGGCAGGCTGGCAAACCAGAGTCCAGGGATAGCATGGGAGGACCAGGGAGATGCCCAGCGCCACCCATCTCAACCTGAGCCAGGCCAGAGACTTACTGGCTGGTGGGAGGCTCCTGGAGACTTCTCAGCATGAGTCCTGGAACCCAACACCCTAAACCTCCCTGGAGTGACTGTTTCTACTCCTGCATCGAGTTAGTGTCCAGCCCTCACCTCCTGGTAAAAGGATGGACGGGAGGGTACCTTGGGTCCAGTAAGGGCACAGAACATATGGGCCCAGAGGCCAGAAACATGAAGGACAGAACCACTTGATCCCAGGACCCATCTGGACCTACTGGGCTGATCCTGCTGGGACCCACTTCCTGAGGCCTGGGGAGGAGAGGCCCAGTCTGGGCTGATGAGGGATCTTGCCTGGAAAAGGAATGAAGAGACCTGGGGGAAGGCCCTCCAACTCCACCCTCCACATCCGGCCTGGTCTACCCCAGGGACTCCAAACTCACTTCCTTGCACAAGGCGGTGTGCCCATGTTTATGGCAAAGTGCACAGTTGGCAAGTGGGTATGGGACAGAGGCTGCCTGCGGTGGCCCGTGCCACGTTTCGGGTGTGTGTTTGTGTCACTTACCGCATGGAGGGGCCCTTCCGGAATCCTGGTTGATCCTGGTTGGTGGGTGAGCCTGCGACCAGAGTGCGCACAAACAGCCAAGTCTTGTGTCTGCCTGACCCACCTCGAACTGCGGAACTGGAGCCTCTACTGCCCCACACCACGCACTCTCCGGGCCCACAAAACACGCACACACGGCGCAACACCCCGCGTGCCCACAAGAGTCTGGCTTCCCACACACATCCCAACACAGGCGCCGCACCAGGAGGGTCAACCCCCGAAGGACCGCGGGTCTCCGGGTGGGGTGCAGAGGCAGTTCTCGGATCCCTCGGTCCAGGAAGACCCAGGGCTCTGTCCCCAACCCGCTCCAAACCTGCAGCAGCCGACCCTCCGCGGACCCCAGGATCCGATCACCCTGGCGGGGCCCGGACCTCAGCCTCGGGACTAACCTGGGGCCGGCCGAGAAGACCGCGTGGAATCCCTGGGGAGGCCAGGTTCTGGCCCGCCCGAGACGAGTGAGGCCTCGCGGGGAAGGGCACTGAGGGGGCGGAGAGGGCGGAGCCGGGAGCTCGGCGCCCCGGCAGCTCCTTCAGGGGACCGAAGG